TGGATGGATGGATGTGTGGATGGGTGGGTGGATGGATGGATGGATGGATGGATGGATGGGTGGATGGATGGATATTTGTCTTCTGCTGGAGTGTCAAAGACAAAATGGCAGTATTTTTCCTCTCTGTTAGCAGAACATGATGCTGGAAGTCCCTCCACTGATTGTGCAGTGGGTTGTGATTTGTTTACTTGTTGTGTTTGTTTGTTTGTGTTTTGTCTTCAGTCCTCTGCAGGTTTTCAGGCTGAAGGATCAGCTCTGTGTTTACTTGAAGATGCAGAGCAGCTCTGCCTCTCTCCAGCTGCTGCGGGACGTTTCTCTCAAACTATTGGACCCAATCGATGGATGTTGCGCACTTTGAGCTCCTCCTCGTCAGAAACAGCGTCAAGTCACAAACTGACGCATCGAGCGACGCCGGAAATACGACGAGCGATTGCTTCAAAATAAGACTCCACTTATTTTTATATTCTCAACACAGATTCAATCAAGTGCAGCAGGTAATTTAGATCCCATTTTTAATTATAAACATATTAATTTGACTAGTTCACTCCTCTGAATAGGTTTGTTCAACTAAATAAAGGTCTGGATTATTAGTCAACATCTTATTCCACTTATAAGTGGTAATAGTTAATTTCTAGCACAAGAGCTAACTGGTTGTGTAAGATCTTAAATCCAAATTTGGCATTATTTATTGGATTCAGCTCTGACTGTTAGTAAAATATCTTGTGAATTGATTAGCAGATTTGAATGATACTCTCATTCATTCAACCTTTATTTATACAAGTTAGTTTCACTGAGTCACGAGTACTCATTTTCAAGAGAGACCTGTTTTAGACAGACAACATGTAAAGTACAGACAAAGGTAATTCAATAAAAAGCAATTAAAATCAAAGAGTACAGTAATTAATAAAACAAGGTAAAAAGAAAGAACTCTCAGAAAGTAGTGATTGGATGAACGTCTACAAGTGATTAACATATGGAGTGAACCCAATCCAAAATGGTTGCCACAGCTAATCAACCTTAGCCAACATACATGTGACTATTACTCATTTAAAATGACAGATAAGAGGTCAAATGTGGTGTGGTGGTAGTTGAGTCATTCCAAACACGATTGCTTTTTAAATTTATTTTTAATATTTGACCAAATAAGGCTTTACACCTTATTTCTCAACATAAATTTTAGTATAAACTGGTTGCAGGTGATGCTTTGGGCCATAATTGTTCTTTTGATTAATTTCACTTTTTTAACAATGCTATTTTTACATTTTTATTTTTTACATGTGCAATGACTTTTGCTGCAATTTGGTTTTCTTATACTCACAAAAATCCAGTAGATCTGCTAAATAAGGTGGGACACGATTAAGAGCTTTTAAAGTGAACAATAAAAGTTTAAAAATCTATTCTAAAATGAACTGGAAGCCAACAGTGAGAAATAAATCTGGGGTGATGTGCTCAGGTCTGGCAGCGTTGGTTAAAAGATGGGCCACAGCATTTTGAACCAGTTGGAGGCATCTGATGGGGATTGGGAGATTCCTACAGAGCATTTTCAGGTCTCTCTTGTAAATGAGTCCTCGAGGCTCAATGGGATTAACCTGTTTAAATAAAGGTTGAATGAAAATTGCAGGAGTCAAGCCTTGAGCTGATAACAGCACGAATGGCCTTTTCCAGGTCAGGATGATTTAAAAACAGCTTAACTTTGTTTAAAAGACATAGCTGATAAAAGCTGCCCTTGACTATAGAGGTGCTATGTTTGTTGAACTTCAAATCCATGTCAAAGGTCACCCCCAGGTTTTTAACTGGGTCTGAACTCTGATGTCAGAGCATAAAAGTTATAGCAAGCATCATCACCAAAGATCTTTCCTTCATTTAAAAACAGAACATTTTGGTGAAACCACTGTTTGATGTCAGTAATACGGTCAATAAAAGAAGTGTGAAGGTTACTACTTTTAGGCTTCATAGGGAAATTTGTAGGTTGTCCACATAGCAGTTGAAAAGAAAAGTGGCATCTAGTTATAACTGATTCAAATGGCAGCGTATACTGCTAGGAAAAAGGAGAGGACCGAGAATAGAGCCCTGTGGCACACCACAAGAAAGATGAGCAGAGGAGGAAAACAGATTATCCAGCATGACAGAGAAAGTTCTGTTGGTTCAGTAGGAGCTGAATCAGATCCACCAACACAGTTGAAGACGAGACAGAAGGACGGCAGGTCCACTGTGTCAAAGCAGCTGTAAGGTCCGGCAGCACCGAAGCAAAAGGACACTTAGCATCTAGAGCCATGGTGATGTCGTTAGGCCTTTTAGCAGGGCTGATTCAGTACTGAGACGAGTTCTAAATATAGACTGAAGATCTTCATAAGTTCGTTTTAAGATGGGTTGTAACTGCATAAAAACAAGTTTGTCCAAAACGTTAGCTAAAAAAAGGCAAACGGTCAAAAATTTGATTGAGAAGGGGCTAAACCACAGCATGGTTAAAAGCAGCAGGGACAGTTCCTAAAATAAGGCAAGAGTTTAACAAAGTCAAGACAAAAACATTCGGTATTAAAAACCTCTTTCAAAAACTTAGAAGGAAGAAAGTCCAGAGGGCAGTTAGTGAGCTCCATGTGATGAACATCAAGACGAGTAGTGAGAGAAACTGTATAAACAAAAACTGAAGATAGCTGGAAACAATTTTGTGTAGTCTGGTTTTGTAGGATTAAAACAACAGAACTGTCTGGGCATTTAACGGCCATTGCGCCAGACTTTTATTTTGAAATACCTCCCCGGAAGCTGCGCGTTTTACCGTTGCGCAGCTCGACAGCGGTCCCGCGCAGCGCAGGGAAGCGTAGCGGAGTTCGGGTTGTCCGGAGCGCACGCAGGACTCGCAGGGGTCAAGCAGCAGTTGCAGACCGGACCCGAACCGCTGCCCTGCCCGGGTTCGAGACCGCATCCGGCACAGGACCAGGAGGAGCGGAGGGGGTGTGGGGAGCCGTCGGTACCGTCCGGACCCAAATGAACACACAACATCCGCCGGAGGAAGAATCCCTGATTTCAGCGCGGGAGCGGAGATGAAGGCGGTCGGCCGACAGGTCGCCGCCGCGGCGGACAAACCGAACGGAGACATGAAGCGGAAGCCGAGCTACCCGGGAGAACTGCGGGCCAAGCACGCCAACATGTCCACCAAGATCTGGGTCAAAGTGGCCATGGCCATCGGCTACTTCCTGTGCGTGTCCGTGGCCGCCTTCATCCTGGTCATCTACTATGCGGTGTTCTGGAAACCCAGCAACAGCACCGACGTGCCGAACCGAACCCAGTGCCAGTCCGTCCCGGGGCAGGGATGACAGAAGAACGGCACGCGCACATCAGCCAGGTGAATGCACGCACCTGACAGGAGGGGGGGGGGGGGGGGGGGGGAGCAGAACGTTCCTGCAGAAATGCACATTTTGATTTAAATTCTTAAATTTCATCTTCACAGAACTCCCGGGTCTTCCTGCACCGAAGAGAACATGAGTTTCCTTCAGCTGGTCCTGAACGAGCAGAACCATGGGCGGATTC